ATTTCAAAATATCGAATGTGTACTTTGCTGCATTTCATAACAGGGGTTTCAAACAACATTGAGAAAAAAAATAGATTAGCGGCGTTATTAACTCAAATAGTACCTAGTTGTACTACAGTGGCTGGTTACAAAGGTGGTTCAAAATCATAGTTATCATTATCATAAGCAACATACCAACGGAAAAGATATCAACATTGTCACATACATACGTATATCGTTGTCGGTCTTAACCTACATTTGAATTAATAATCAGTACATGGAGAAGGATAGGATAGGAATCAATTCACCAACATAAAAAAATCATATTGTAATATGTCGTATCGTCAAGACCAAACGAGATTAATGGTGGCCGGATGTAAAATTTGAGGAAATATATGTATGTACTCAAAAAAATAAATAAATAAATAGAAATCAAAATTCCTCCATTAAAAAGAACACAAACAATTTTATATATAATTAATTTTTTTTGTTACAATTTTTTTATTATTACTACAGTACTGTTACTACTTGAGAGTCATATCTTTTTTTAGATAATTCAAACTTAGTTAATAGGATTAAAAAAATGTATCACATTTGAATCTTAATCTTTCTTTATTGCACTCTAAACTTAATTAGTTTTTTTTTTTTTTTTTCTAAATGGAAATTATTTATTTATATGTTTTTTTTTAATGGCTATGCGTTATAATTAATTGTGTAAATACTTTTCTTGATGCCGATAGGCAATCGGCAGAGGGCAAACTGTAGGGAAAAATGGCCCGATTGTGAATTTAAATTATTGAATGATCTGTTACTCTGCTTTAATTAACACCCACTTTATAAATGATGTCTATAGTATTAGCAAAGGCAGAGAAATTAGGTTATCTTGAGAACTAGCCCAGTTGCCGACGAGCTTGGAATCAGTAATTTGGATGTGCCTTGGTCTAATCTCTATCTTACCATATTATAGTCAATAACGCCTTGGCGATTAAAATTCTCTTCATGTAAAATACACACCAGGGCCAAAAATTTGTTCACTTCTTGCAAACACAAAATAGTATTGTTGTTCAGCTTGATTAGACTAGAGCTCTGATGACCAAAAGCCGTTTCTTCGGAGGTGTAAATATAGAACAAAGCTATTTTCAGATTTAAAATTGATCGAAGGTGACATAAAGCGTTGCCGTTTGCTTTTTTACTAGAATATCCATAAAAAGTACGTATAAAG